TCCATTCCCAACATACTCCTCACAATCAACTGTCATCCAAGATCCTGTATCCTCTGATTTACTTCTTTCGATGCTTAATTTCATTAAAGCGTCTTTATGTGCATAATTAACGCCAAGCAGATTTTCATCTTGTTCTCGTCCCTCACATTTCAGATCACTAACTTCTGTTAATGATTCTTCCTCGCTTGTAATGCGTACAAGTGTATGTTCCACCTCTTCGATTTCTTCAATTCTCTCAGGAATCACTTCCCTGGTGGATTCTTGAGCGGCCAACGCTTTTCTCTTTTCCAATTTCCTTAAAAGTAACTTCTCTACAGTCTTTGAGGCTCTATGAAGTTCCTGAATGTGCTGAGTGTCTGATCTTTGAGAGGAATCACCAGACTCATCGATATATTTCATTTCCAATGAATTTCCCAAACTTAACTTTTCCATACTTTGAGAATCTGATGAACTTTTAGTCTCAATTTTCGCTAGATCTGGCGGTTTTGTAATTGTAGCTTGCTCAAAAAAATCTGACGACTTTTCTACTATAGTTATATCCTTCAATTTAGAATCGTCTTCTTTAGTTTTGTCATCAACAGAAATCCAAACATCTAAACTTGTACCTTCGAGTATAAGATGAGTGGACTCTGTTTCCTGCAGAGTCTCTTCGGTATCTGTATCCAATGCATCTGCTGTAGAATCTTCGGGCTTCGATGCTTCAATGACTTTATTATCACTTTTTGTCATATTATCTAAAGTTTCCGCTTTAAAATTAAAAGTCAATTCCTCAGGTTTTTCTGGTCGCGTATCTAAATCTAAACTTTTACCTAACCTTTGCAATGACCTTTCTGTTGCTTCCTCGCTTAGAGCAATTTCTAAGCTCTTAGTAAGTTTTTGATCTAATAACTTTTTATCCAATTTTTTCGGAGATTTAGTAATTATGATAGCCTCTTCTAAATTAACACTCGTATTTTCAATCGTGTTAATACTGATTTCTAATTTACCTCCACGTTCACGAACCATTTCTTCTACCTGTGGGAAAACTGGCAATATATCTTTAACAGGACTTTTTATTGTTTTAGTCTGTTTCATGGCAGTTTCATATAACATCTGTTGATACTCTTGTCTCTTAGCAATGTCTGTATCACTTTCTTCCTGTGATCTTGTGCGTTCTTTGCTTATGGTTCTCTTAAATTCGAGCTTTTCCAAAGATCTAGCCTTTTCTTTCGTCGCAGGACGTTTGCAAGATTCTAATTCTTGGCTCTTGGTTCTCTTTATTTCTGGTAATTGCAACGAATTTTGTGTAGGCAAAGATGTTTGCGTTGGTAATGATTTCTGATTAGTTATAGTTTTCTCTGCGCTTTTCTTATCGGCCCTGTCCAAGGACAAAGTCTTTGGTGGTAATGCTCTGGTTATCGGTTTTGGTATGGGTTTTTGTATTGGTGGTTTCTGAACAACCTTTTGAACACCTGTTTTCGGGATAACACCTTTCGGAGGAATTGTTGGTTTAGAAGTGCTTGAAGTCTTTACAGGTTTTTCTTTAAGTTTAGTATCTTTTGCTACGATCTTTGGTTTTGCAGCAGTTACTTTAGGTGCAACAATTTTACTGTTTACAGGTTTTTGGATTTTCTTTGGCTTGCTTGTAACGTCAGGTACGATCTGATCTTTTTCCGCACTCTTTTGTTTCATAGCAGCTAAAGCCGGCTTCTTGTCAGCTATTTTAGGATAAACTGGTGCAGCAGTAGTTTTCTTTACTTCACCGATTATCTCCTTGATTTCATCCATAGGAAGTTCTCCTTCAGTTAATTCCTTGTCTGATTCTATGAGCTTCAAGTGATCTTCTTCTTCGACTGTGTCATCTTTACTGGAAAATGAATTCAATGGAGGTAGTCTATTTACAGGTATAACAGGAGCATCTAAACTCTTAGCTCTTCTACCAGATAAAGGAGATTCTAATGCTTGTTGCTTTTGTAATAATGAAAACGCTGAACCTTCTGATAAATTTAATCTAGCATGCGCAAATAGTAACGGACTCTGCCCTTTCTTTCTCATCGATGGCGAACAAATCTCCGTTATTGTAGTCTTTGATGGAACTTTCAAATCTTTAATATCCATTTCAATATCTTCGTTCAACTTAATTTTTTCCTTCTCACGTTCCTCGTCAATTTCTTTAATATCTTCTTCCTTCAATAACTCCTGAACAGTTATCTGTTCAGCAGTATCATCAACCGATTTATCCACTTCTTTATCAACTTCTTCCAAAGTTTCTAAAGTCAAAGTAATATCATCGGCTTCTGGTTCAAATACAGGTTGCAGATCACTAGTTTTAATATTAAAGTCATCCTCGGAACTTGGAATAGAAAGAGATCTTTCTGAGATTCTGCGTAACTCTGTTTGGTGATTAGGATCTAGTGTTCTGTCGTAAAGCACATCCGTTTTTCTGGTAGTTGGCGGAGAACCTTCGACTTCTGTAGACGACATTGTGTATTGTAAATATTTTCTTTCTGATTCGTATTTTAATATTGACTCCATCTCTTTTCTCATCTGAGGGGGAGAAAATTCCAACTTAGTTGGCGTAGCTTCTGCGCTACCAAATACATCGTCAGAATCTAATGATTCATCATCGGAACTGAATGAAGTGATTCTGACTTTTGTTTTATTATTCTTACCTTTCTTCCCGGGTTGCATTCGTGGTTTAATTATACGTTTAGGTTTTATCTTGATTGGTTTATTTTCCGGTTTCTCTGGAGATATCTTCTTCTCTTCAACTTTGCTCTCCTCGATAGTCTGTTGAATTATTTTCTGTTTGAGTTGCGGCTTTAAACTCTCCGTCTTCGAACTAGTTGGAGAATCGCTCTCAATTTGACTCAATTTCGAATTCAGCGTTTCTAAAATGGCTGGATCAATTTTAGTAATGTCCCGTTTCGGACTAGACATGTGGTGAATGGGTTTCGCTGACTTATCAACTTCAAGTGTAATTGGATCTATCTTGGATAAGTCAATGTTCTGGGTAAAAAGAAATTGCGTAGTTTCAGGTTCTATTGAAATCGGGCTTTTTGGAGTCTTTTTCTTTTCTTCGATGATTTCAGGAACTTCGTGTGCTCGTTTTGTAACATCTTTACTATCTTCTTTAGATGTACCGTTCATTGCATGTCTCTTATGCAACACATAAGGAATATCAGCATCGCTTTTAGGAGGTAAATTTATGAAATCTGATTGCGTCTTAACACCAAGTGATTCAAATTGTGTTTTTGGAACTTCAAATTTAGTTTTCTCACCTTGAATTTCACGCTTTAGAATATCAAAATGCCCAAATTCAGCGGTGGGCATTTCGAAATGGCTGCCACGGAATTTCATAATCGGTGGAGCACTTGGAATTTGCTTGTAGAGGTAGTCTTCGTCGCTGGATTCAGCTGGTGTAAGATCAATTGATTTCTGATGCCTAAGAAGCATGCGCCTCGAATTAGAATTTAGTCTTTGCCAAGCCAAATTATTTGGGTCTGATTTGGTTCTTTCTATTGGTTGATGAAGGATCAATGAGTCCTTAAGATCCAGTTTTCTCGGTTCAATTTCAACAAATACTTCTCTGTAATTCTTCTTCGATTCATTCCGGAAGTCTATGTTGGGAACAACAGCATAACCTGGATCATCGGATTCTTGAAGAGATTGGATTTTATCTTCTTCGAAACTGAAAACGTTGCTTTCTGATTCTGTGGATCTGGTACTTTGCTGCTTAGTAGTCCAATCGTTGATTTGAGTAGGTACTCCGGCTATGCTCTCCGGCCAAATATGAGTAATCTTTTTCTCATTGTCTAGTGAACTTTGAGACTTCAATTGCCCTGATTTTTGAGTTCGAGGTATAGTATTTTGTTCCAAATTGGCCATTCTATTAGCACGCATATTCTGTTCGGTCTCGACATTTTGTAAGCTGATAGAGTGCACATGAGAAGTTTCTTTGAAACTACTATCCTTGCTTTTCTGAGTTCCGTAATTTCGTTCGAATTGAATTTTCCTATCGTAATCGTGTTGATATTTCGCTTTGGCTTCCGAATTAGCATCAAAGTATTCGCTCTTGGACTCTACACTAGATGTTCTTGAATCAAAACTAGTTTTTTTAGTAATACTACCGTTCGACTTCCTACGCGCAGTTATTTTGATGTCGTAATCGCTCTTAGAATCCTGGCTGGAAGTTCGAGAACTTAATCCCCGTTTAATCTTTTTCGTGGTATCCTTACTGGACTTTATTACTTTAGGTTCGAAATAATCGCTCTTTGATTCCAGACTCGAAGTACGTGAACTGGTCTTGAAAGTTTTGTAATAATTGCCGTCCGATTTCCTGGGAATAATCTCCCTGGGGAAATCTCGCGGATCTTCCAACAAGAAAATATCCTGATGAACGTCATTACTGCTCTTGCACTTGTTACGCTTTTCGTGGTCGGATTCGGTGTCCGATGGCAGATAATTACCCGAATCTAAACTACAACTTCGGGTGTTAATCGATTTAGTTTTAGCGTTCGTATACTTGTAGTCGCCTGACGTGCTGTTATCATCGTCGGAGCGCTCAAGCAACTCGTAACTGTCATGGGACAAGTCGTCCTGTGAATCACGTAACTCGTAATTACCCGGATCCTCTACGGATTCTTGCGAATAGCTCGTCGTACCTGGATAACTACTGGAATACACTTTTTGATCGGGCATCATAATGTCCTGATGAATTTCAAGACTGGGGTTTTGTGAGGCAGCATAAATTGCGCGATGGTCATCGTATCTAGTGATAGGGGACTCTAACTTGCGATCGTCTATGTAAATGCGTTTGGATTCGGGCTTAATGCGACGTTTCGCTTGGCCCGAATCCTCGAAACTAAAGTCATACAAGTCCCTACAGCTAGCACTACGCTGCCATATGTGGCGTTTAGGCAACGGGTCGGGGCGTATATAAGTATTATCTAAGTCATTTTGCGATTGGGTCTGTGAAGGGGGGCGGTTAGAGGGCGTCCGGGTAGTACTGATGATGGTACCTGTATCTGCCCTGTGAACGGCTGCGTGGACGGCCACAGGAGAACTGTGCGTGTTGTTGCTCTCGTAAGGAATATGCTGAGGGCTCGTAGTCGCAGAAGTTACCGGAGACCCCTACAATATAATTGAGAAGAGAAAAGAAGAAAAAACGCATATTATATATATTTGCATTTCGCAATAATGAATTCATTATCTAACCGATTGCGTCGTCAGAGGAGGTGATGGCGAGTTCGTCATCCGAGCAGGTAGTGTGGTAGGCCTGGTGTCTGGGGCCGAGCTCCAAGACGTAGGAGTGACGCGGGGGAGACAAGCTGACCTCGTCGTCGGAGAAATTGGTTCCTGCGACCCCGCGCCCATCGCTCCCAGTGACGCTGAGAGCTTGGACACTTCCACTAGAATATCATTACAATTAAATCTCTTGACTGAATTAATAACGTAATAATATTTATGTTACTTAGCGCTGAATGAACACTCGAAATGTGAAGAAAAAAAAATCGACAAAGAGAACCACCTAACTCGCCGTTCAACGTGAAACTGACTACATTCAATTAAACCAATCATCACTCCTAAAGATACAATCAACATTTATCAAGGATGACCCCCAGTCACCTCTCAAATAACCATGATTCATAACTAACATAACTCATAAAGAAAAACACTAAATTGACAAATTTAAATCATATCATGCAAAATGGAAATGTATAATTGTCGACCGATATTTTCGAGTTAAGTGTGTATAAATAGCAACTAAAAAAATGTAATAATGAGAAGTTAAGGAGATAATGAGCTACATACCGCTGAGGTTGGTGTCAGCAAGGGGCAACAGGGGATGAGCGGAAATGCTGTTTCCGACTGAGCTGGTGTGCATGTTGTTGGCGCTTGAATGCGCGCTAGAATGGCGAAATGAAGCTGACCTGCACAAGAGAACGAGGAGTGACCCACTACACATCGATTATGCAAAACTATAGCTAAGTGTTAGTATGGAGCACAGCAGTCAGCTATTATTAATTATCATTTATTTTATTCGCGAAGACCGTTTCCATTTCAAATTTAAGAAACAAAACAAATTGAATATGACCGAAAAAGAAAAGTTCATTCGATAAATGCTTTCCGAGAGAATATAGTAGGCTGAGAATCATGCAAAAGAAAAATCCTTTTTCTTGAATATCGTTTCTTTTTTCTTATATGTGCAGATGCAAAAAAAAGTAGAGAAAATATTATAAAAATAGGAACAAGAAAATTGCGATTGACTAAAACATGTATTATGTACAAAAGAAAAAAGTATGTCCCATCCTCCTTCCCTTGATTGTATATTCATTGCATGACAAACTTTATAAAATACCAGCATCGGGTACAGCAAATCCTGACTACAACAACCATGCTCCAAACTGTACACAGGTAGGGTATATATTACATTCATTCGCAACGCATAAGGAAACATCGATAGTTTCGTTATGCGACACAAAACGAAGAGAAAATAATAATAATAATAATTAACAACAAAAAAGTGTATGTAAATCAAAAAATATATATAATTGTGTAAAAGCATGTAGTTTTTAGAGGGCGAAGGATGCATGCTAAAAAAAGTATCTCTTGGGTTTAGTGTAGCAATAGTTCATACTGTACCTCTGAAAGGTCTGGCGTTTCACATAATTATCGCGAACGAATTCTACAATTTGCTTCTGAGTCTTTCCGCTATATCTGTAATTAAATAAAATAATGGTCAGTACTTCAATTAGGAAATATATTCATAAAGTTGTTCCTTAAATTTAATAACGTTTTCAAATACGCATAAGATTATAAAGAAAGATTTCTTAATTTTATTTTTAATTGACTTACCTAAATGAGCTTCCTCTAGATAAAACCCTTGTTTTATGTCTGGAAACATTTTTGACAGAAGAACAACGAAAGAAACCGTGATTCTCCACGCACTTCTTCCAAAAGTTCTTGCATTCGTTTCGTCCTTCGAAGAAAAATTCAACCGTATCTTTATAATAGCCCTGAAAGGTGGTAACTAATTAATAAAGGTGTTTTCAAATGAAGAACTGTTAACTTACGAATCCCTCAGGGTGTAATTTAATAAGGAACTTTTTCCTCTTAAAAGAAAGCTTCCTGATTTTAGCCCACGAGAATGTATTGATCTTCGTGATTTGCTGGTAAACAACAATGCCCATATGGGCAACGGCCAAATTTAAAGGAACATTTTCGTGATCTTTTGCTGGGTGCATTTTAACACCGTAGAGTTCGCATCGTCTCGCCGTTTCAAGCAAATTCAAGTCGGCCTCGGCAGGTGATTGCCCGCTAAATGGAAGAAGGAGATTTGAATGTCTTAAATCATATTGAATATTTCTCGTACGTGACTGAAATACGTACGCATGCTTCTTGTGATTCTCCATGATTTTCCTTTCCATCTCGTGATCTTGATGTGGAACGAATTTGTAGCTGGATAAGTACGTGTGGTCCGGATAATCCTCAGACACGTAATCTCCGCACTCTGCCTGAACAATGTAGCTGGCCATCAGGGCGGCGGTATTATCGTTGCAATGCATTAGACCTTGCGACAGATCCCGCTTCACTTGCAGACAGTACAAGTACCTGGTATACTCCTCTTCAAGCTGACCAGGATCTGGAGTATAGAATTTCACGCAGAAATGCAATAAAGGATCCACCAGGGACAATCCCAGCTGACGGGAAATTGGCTTCTGCAGATCCAGCCAATACTAAAATAATTAAATCGAAAATGTAGATCGCTCAATCGTAAATTATTGCTCGAACTTACCCTAGTTCCAGCCAAGTCCTGGTATTCCAAACCAAAGTAATCTGCTTCTAATAAATGTAGCTGCTTGCAGACTTGTTCGAATAACACCCTACCCATGGCTTTAGCCTAAAATACAACAGGAAAAAAATGAGTTTTTAAATCTATTCGAAAACGCGTTTCGGTATTCAGAGGGGAATGCATAATCAGGGTCGTCAAATCATCTCGGCGTAACGTAATTTTTATTAATGATCAAACTAATATTAATAAGGTCACCCCTTATTACATCGCACCCTCACATAAACCAGGTATTGCATTAAGGGAATTTATGATTGCATTCTAATTTATTACAACGACAAATTACAAAACGGACATCGTGTAAATATAAATTTTCTTGTTGTCTCTCTATTAGCTTGATTAATTATTATGAGATATAATGGATCAATCATTTAATGGGTCAACTCCATCTATATAGGGGAATAAATAAGGCAACATCGTACACGACGAGGAGCCTCGATACATCAAGTATAACAGCAAAGATTAGGAATTAAGGCAGGAAGTATTGAAATATTCAGCAAAATGCGGACGGGGACATAAAATTCTTAGCAGCAAGTACATTCGACAACTTTGCGGAATTTCTCACGAGAGCCACAAAAACGACTGGCTTATTGACTTTCGACTGCCATACACATCCCACATCTTCTGCCGCATCTATATTATATAAAATACGGTCACGTCCATATAGAGCACCAGTTAATAATATATGAATGCTGTTCGTTCAAATACGCACATCGTTTATTCTATTTCCTAACAATTACTTAATTTGTTCAAAGCCCAAGGACATCGAGTGGAATGG